ATCAATCACCACCGTCAACGGTACGGGTGGCTACCGAGAGCAGTAGAATCTGCGCAGGTATAAGCGGGAAACCATCCAAGGGAGTAGGATTTGAACCTACAACATTCAGTGACAAATGGCCGTTTCTGTGTGTGTTTGTGCCCATGTTTGCAGAACACAGTCCATAGAACAATGCCTGCGAGACAAAGCCCGTCCACCTTTCAACGATTACTCCGGAGGTTGCCTCTGTGCCTTTCCTTTTCTCTGTGGGTGTGTTGCCACGTTCACTATACTCCACAAACAAACCACAACTGCGTGAGCGCGCTTCGTCGCGCGTGCGTTGTGCGTGTGCGTTGTGCGTGTGCACGTGTTTCCCTGTGTGTGTGTGTGTGTGTGTGTGTGTGTGTGTGTGTGTGTGTGTGTGTATAAAGCGTGTACATCCTGGTAAAGGTGGCGGGTGAGGAATACGGGGGGGGGGGGGGGGAGGGACTGGAGATTTCAACGAAGAGGCCTGCCGCTTGGAAACGAGGCAAGAATCCAGTTCACGTCCGCGAGACAAGTGGTGGTCTCGCCTGACGGACTTGGGCAATGGCAGTTGCAGGGAAGATAACCAAAGCTGTTCGTTCTTCTGCGACAACCCACTGCATTCGGCCGTTGGGTGGACACCGCGACTTCTCGTTCCTAGGGGCGAATCACATCAGGAGTATGAGAATTAGCCACTCGACTACCAGATTGGCTAACTGATGACTGATGAGCTACTAACGATAAGCTAGACGGTCATTTAACCACATCATATATAGTTGTTTACACCAGTCCCGACAATCCTCCATCCCCACACCACTGTGCTGTACGTATATACCACCACACCACACCACACACTCCTCCCTCTCCCACTGTGCGGCATGTTATTCCCTCGTCAACGTACTCTCTTTTAATCCCTCCCCCCCCTCTCTTTCCATCGACTCCCTGCCGCACATTTCGTTGCTCCCTATCTTATCTTGAAGACGAGCATTTTAGCATCTCGAGCCGCTCTGGCCTCCCACCACAGTCTCTGTTATCATCCTTTGGTATTTCTGCGCTGCCCGTGCAATGTCCAACCTCACAAGCACGCATGATGGCATGCAAGCGGGCACGAAATGCGCCGATCGGCCACGTACATTTCAACCAATCTATCAGTAGGAGTGCTGTTACAGTAATAAATTGCAACGAGCCTATCAGCAGTAGCATTGATTAGGCGGGCTGTTAATTAGAAAGGGGGAAATAAACAAGATTGTTTGTCATACGAGAAACAACGGGATGGATTCCGGCAGCATTTGTTGCTCGGTATTGACAGAACTGCGAGACATCAAAACATCCATTCGGAGGAAAAGAAGAGGAAAAAAGAAGGAGAGAGAGACAGAGAGAGGCAAAAACGTTCGTATCCGTATTACGAGCGGCTCTCGTCGAGAACTGCTTACTGCCCGGATGACGCGCCATCCAAAATCCTTGCGCTAGTCAGAAAAGAGAATAGAAAAAGAAGGTGACAGGAAACAATGCAGGTGCTTTTCAAGGTCCAGAGAGAGTATGTAGATAAGGAAAAACGAGAAGACACAGCACCAGGATTCGCTATTCGCTGCGTACACTCAGTGGAGTGCTCTTTTGCTTGTAACCAGCGGCTGACTGCCTGCGGCACGTGCTTGTTGGGAGAAATGTGCCAACCAGCAAGGAAACCATCAATCAATCAATCAATCAATCAATCAATCAATCAATCAATCAAACAATCAAACAATCAATCAATCAAACAATCAATCAATCAATCAATCAATCAATCAATCAAACAATCAATCAATCAATCAATCAATCAGACAATTCAACTGAATTCTATCAAGAAATCTATCAATCAGCACACACCAGTCGACCAATTCGAAACGAACTCCATCAACTCAATCAGAAAGAAAATAATGCCAGCGCAGAGAGGTAAAGAATCGTTTCCCTCCTCTTGATCACCCAAACAAACACACACAACAGAAAAAGACAAGAAAAACCGTGCACGAACCGGATAAACGGACAGGAAACAAACACACAACAGAAAAAGACAAAAGAAAAACCGCGCACGAACCGGATAAACGAACAGCGCCAGGGTGGAGAAGAGAAAAAAAGCAAAAAGCAGAACAAAGTTTGCAACTGTCCGACCTCTTCCCTTCCCTCTCCCTCCTCACTACGTAATATTTTTCCGTTCTAGCCACGTCGGGATTTCCTTTATTCTCAGCGTCTCATTTCCTTTCCAGCCACCCGCCTCTGAGGTGGGTCCTCTCGGGCACTCTCTGCTTTCTAGCAGATGTCCTCCGAGTGACAACTCGAGTGACAGCTCGAGTGACAACTCGTCCTGTTGAAGTGCTTACGCGCAGTGCGACTTCCGCGCGCTTCCTACAGACGAGATGCACCAGGCGTAACGGCGGTCCCTTTGTGTCTCTTGTGGCAAACGCGACCCTGTTATCGGCCCGCCGTCTAAGAATCGGTAGAGGTATACACGCACACCTCACCCCGAACACAAGCTGCACTGGGGGATCCACTCTGCGCGCGCCTTCTTGCTACATTATAACGTACACACATGATCGAGGGTTCAGACTGCAGCCATGCGCATACGCAAACGTACACACGTAGACACAGGTCTTCGCATGCAAGCGCGCACACACGAGGAACTTACCTCGCACTCGCCTACCGCCCGCTAGAGTTGAGGCTGCGCAGCGCGGACAAACGGCCTTACAAGCCTCCAGCCTCTTCGGCACCCACTACCAGCTTAGATCCCCTTCAAATTTCCGCTCACCGCCGTGCATGTTCCCCTGCCAAAACCTCTCTCTCTCTCTCTCTCTCTCTCTCTCTCTCTCTCTCTCTCTCTCTCTCTCTCTCTCTCTCTCTCTCTCTCTCTCTCTCTCTCTCACCCAATCCCCTTCAGATTTCACGCCAATTTTCACCCCTCACCGCCGTGTATGTTCCCCTCCCGAACCCTCTCTCTCTCTCTCTCTCTCTCTCTCTCTCCCTCTCTCTCTCCCTCGCGCGCGCGCGCGCGCGCGGTGTTAATCCGCTATCCCGCTCGTTGAATGTGTGAACCCTGGTACACAATTTGCTTGCACAAGGCACAAGCAGGTTCTTGACCATACGATTCCCTCCATACGTTGATTTTAGTAACTCGCATTCGTCCTGTTGATGGCCGGTTGCTTGGAGTATTCCATTCTGATAACGTAGTGATGATGTTCGGGGAGAGGATGGGCAGATGAGAACGACAATGTTGATCGTGCGCCATGTTGTGGGGGTGTATGCTACCTTGGCCTCGTCGAAAGGCGAGTGCAGACTTGTTAGTTCAGGCCAGATCTGGTCTCAAATTGTGCCCAGATGCATCGCGCAAGATCCCAATGCGAGAATGCTCTAAGCTTGGAAGAGCTGTCGCGTGCTGGCAGCGGACGAGTTACGACAGCCACGGCAGCTTATCTCTTTTCTCCTTCTTCATTTTTCCCTCCTTTTTTTTCTCCTTTTTTTTCCCCCTTTTTTTTCTCCTTTTTTTTCTCCTATTTTTAATACTACTGTAATTAAAACTCAGATGTCCCTCCCAAGCAGTTTACCTTCCGAGCCAAATTTGAGGGGTGCGCAGTACACTGTGAGAACTGCAAAGGTTGAAAAGAGAGAGTACAAAACAAGCGCTGGAGGAGAGGAGGGGAACGGTGTGGGGGGGGAAGGGAGGAGGCCTGCAGAGAGGCACGCGTAATAGGGAAGGAAGAAGGACAAGCGGGGGGGGTTGCAGAAAAAGATACACTAAGATTGGTCAAGAGCTTACAGCCCGACATTACAGTTGCCAGGATTAAACCACGCTGATTGCGGACAGACATAGAAGATTCAAGATAAGGAGGACAAGCGGGGGGGGTTGCAGAAAAAGATACACTAAGATTGGTCAAGAMCTTACAGCCCGACATTACAGTTGCCAGGATTAAACCACGCTGATTGCGGACAGACATAGAAGATTCAAGATCTACGGTTAGTATTTCTTTCATCATCGGTACTATTCGAATCACGACCAATAGATGGAGCTGTTTAAAAAAAAAAAAAAAAAAAAAAAAGAATCACGACCACAGAGGAAGGAGTAGGAGAAGCCTGTCAGAGCCCCCCGCGTGCACAGAGTGTCAAAAATGCGCATCCTAGATATCGCTGCCGTCATGGTGCGGCCCTCTTGTGCAACCCAGAGCTGACGGCGAAGTAGCGCCAGAAGAGGAGGGTAGATATGGTCACAATGCTTGCAAGGAACAGAGGAGGTGGATGTGCACAGACTGTTTTGCAGGGATGAAAGGAGGCGAGAGATGACATTCAAGAGGGGGTGGAGAAGTGGAAGGGCGAGGTCAAAAAGTACGACAATCAGCATAGAACAAAGAGAAACGGATGGATGCCTATGCCGAAATAGGACGAGGAAACGAGTATGTGACAACATATCCGTGTGCGCAACCGTTCTCTCTGTTGCTCTTCGCCGTTTCTCGAGCCCTCTCTTTCTCTCTCGCAAAGGCGCTCTTGGTTTGTAGCTCAGTGACAACATGTAAGGCAATGAATGAAGAGGAGCGCAAGGAGGAGGAAACGTGGAAAGGGGAGAAGATTACGAGGACTGGTAGGAGAGCCCCCAAATGATTGCTACCCATGAGCTCTGAGAAAGAGAAGAAAGTGTACTGCACAACAAGCGCGAGAAGTAGGGAGGCAAAGGGAAGCCGGGAGAAGGAGGGGAGCATAACACACGTATGTCAGAGGTGTCGAATCTAAAGGAGGAAGCAGGGGAAAGGGGAGCATGCCGAGGAATGGCAGGAGGAGGAGACTTATCGAGGCGGCAAGGGGAGGAGGAGCAAGAGCAGAGAAGAATGACGGCGGGCGGGGAGGAGCAGCAGGTAGGGAAGGGGGAGAGATTGGGTCAGGGGGGCGGAAAAGCGCGGGAGGAGGAGAGGAGCAGAGCAGGGATTACCAGGCAGGAATGGTGATGAGAAACAGAGAATTACTAAGAATATACGTACGTCTTCGTCTGAATCGGACAAGGAGAGAGCCATGCCGTCCATTCCCGTGGGTTCGGACGCCGGGACCACATTTCCTGCCATTCGAGACGGCGTGAGCGCGGTTCGCGGAGGAGTTGACGCTGGCTGCTGCTGCGCTGATCGCGTCAGGGAGGCATCCATCACCTGCGCTGGCACTCCTCCAGTCAGGCGCGCCTCCAGCTTCTGTATCCTCTGTCGCAAATTTTGATTGGAGTTCTGATTAGAATTCTGGTTGGAGTTGTTCGAGTTGGAGGAAAGCTGCTGCATCAGGTCTTCACTGTATTCCTCTCCCATTTTCGGCTTTTTTTTAAATCCCCCCCGGCAGGAACCGGGCGACCACCTCCTCTCCGCCCCTTCGTCGTCTGCCCTGTTTCCTCCGCCAGCGCGCCCTTTCTCTGTCTCCAAACCCCTCCCTCTTCCAGGGCTCCTTCCCGAGGTTGACCGACCACGTACCCCTCTGATCAAAAATGACTTTGACGAAGGTCGAACTGGAACAAGCGGTCTAGTGCCAGTCCTGGTGGTACAAGTGAAGTTTGTGTTGGCGGTTGCAGCCGCAGCCGAACTGAAGATGAGAAAACCAAGTGGGCGACGAAGTCCAATTGCAAAAGGAGGAGGAGGAGGAGGAGGAGGAGTGTGAGGGGGAAGAACTGGCAATTGCGGCGGGAAACCATAGGAATTACAGTTCCGAAGAGATTCTGCAAGAAAAAAAATGGAAACGCTCTATCTTTTTCTATTGCCACCGGCTGAAGGGGAAAATACGGTCTTTCCCGCCCACCATCCCACGTCCCGCCGATACTCGCGAAGTCTCCCACGGCCCCGCCGAAATCGAAATACCCATTCCGTAACCCGCAACACCCCACACCCAACTTCATTCCCTCGTCATCGCCCACGTACATGACGCACCACAGTCAGTGCGGCGGGACATGCCAAACCAACCCTCTACTTTGCTTGCCGGCTCGCTACTTTCTTTCTGGCGCGGGCACTTCCCAATGGAATTCCTCTCCCGCGCTTACTTTGCAGCGCGTCGGCGAAAGATGGTGGACAATTGGGCGGGATTGAATTCAGAACCTCCTCCACCCATGATCTGTAATTTTCTGCTTCACGCTATTTGGATGTGATGGTGGTTTCTGCCCAACAACGAGAAACCCGCGCAACTGATGTCTCTTTCAATGGCGCGAGCGTCCCGAACGAGTGACTGCGAATGAAGTCACAGAGAACGCACTCCAGCAGCTCGACAAAAGAGACAGGAACGACCAACTCTGGTCGCGACACCGCTCGGTCGCGATACCGCGCGGCGGCGACAGCCACCGCCGGTATCAAGCCTCTAACGGGCACTTGAGGTCGTCGCTCATTGGCTAACCACGGGGGCGCGGGGAAGGGCACTGGTTTTTTTTTTCTTACCAGGAAAAGCACAAATTTATTATGCCAAAAACAAAAAAAGGCCACTCGCGATCGGGTACACCGTCACGCGAAAACCCCCACTGTAGCCAGGAAAGAACGAACCCCTCAGATCTGTTCGCAGCCCTAAAGGGCTACGCCATCTCCTCAAATTCAATTCGGCTAGGATCCCACCTTCTATTCGTAGGGAGTCTTTGAGGTGACCCCACAGGTTTGTGGCAAAGACCTGGAAGCGTTGGAAGGATTTTAGAGCCCCCACAGCCCCGGCGCTGTTGGGTTGGAAGCGCAGCCCATTGTCCCCTCGTTATAACCCATGTGGGCCGTTGTCTGGGTCAAGTGAAAGGGTATGGTGGGGCCACCCCTTCCGTTGCCAAAGGTCGTCGCGGGTGACAGACATTTGTTGATATCCGTCGGTCCAAACCCCGAGAGTGTCTGGAGGTCGAGCGATGTTCAAAGCTATCACATACAAACTGTCCCCGAGCCATGGCCAGGGACAGGTTGGTACCAGTACCTCTATGGGGATTGCAAGCAGCAGAACAGAGAAGAGGTGGCGCCTCCAGTTTGGCGGAAGGGACAACAATCGAAGAGGCCAGCCGCTTTGAAATGGACAAACGACATTGCATTATCAGTTGTATTCCAACCGCCATCCGCTCCAAATGGATTGTCTACCGCGTGGACGCAGGGAACGCAGCCCTAAGGTAGCCAAATCAATGAGACTAAGAGC